GGAGTCTTTGGTGTTTTGTTTTTGAAATAACTGAGACATTTAAAGACACCCGTTCCATACTTTCAAGCTCTCCTTTAATTCTATGGTTTTCTAGTAGACTTTGTTATCGATTAAGTGGCAACACTGCATCCTGTGGCCTGAGCTGGGCTGGCTGTGTTCCTTCTCGAGATATCGGCTTGATTGACTGTCGGGCAATTTTCAAGATTACGTACGCGATTGTTATTTGCGATGAAAACGAAGGTCTCTAGTTTTTTTTTATTATTTTGTTTGGTTTTGGCAAAGTTCACAGAAGTAAACATTGGTTTTGGTGAATGAATCAGGCCTATCACCAGATAAGGGATAGGCTCGATCGTTAACAAACATTTTCTCGTGAATGAAGTGTCCTCAGTTAGTAAAGTAGGTATATATACTTACCTACCTATATAGGAATGTAATATCCGAAGGTTAAGATTATTTTGCTATTTCTGTTGAAAAACGAGGTTAATCAGTTGATTGTTTTGAACTCCTATACTTGGTTTGGTTGCAATTGCCCCTCGAGTTGCCCCTAACCATCGATTTTTCTAGGTACCGATTCTCACAACATATCTACAAAATTTATCGATAAAATTACCTATACCAAGAGTACCGATCCTGTCTATACCTTCCTCTTCCTATCCAATATACAGGCCACGACCAAAGATTACTGAATGACTAATTTATCTTCTGTAGTCTATGCCACAGAATACTCAATCTGTGTCTATGCCACGACCTATATAGTTACTTAGCCATCAGCTTTCGATGGTCAGGTAAACAACCTTTTTACAGGTTGAAGAACTACTTTTTGCAAAATAGGTATGTATAAAAACAAAATGCACGAATGATCGATTTTAGGTAGCTATACCCGAGGCTATACAGTATACCTATTTTCAATTAGAGTTTTTGATAGGTATATCACCAAAATCAACCGATAGGATATAGATATTTATATACAAATACCGGGTGACCAGTTATATTCTGACCCATTTCAAATGCTTATATCTCTGAAACCATTCAAGTTATCGTTGTGCAGTTTGAACTAGTCTATTTTGATAATCTTCAAGTTTTTTTTGACAGGTTCACCTTCTCTCTTGAACATCCGGTTCTACCAGAAACAAACTAGCCATTATTCAGGTATAGGGCAACTTTTTTATTTCATTGAATCACCCTGTATATTTTTGCACATTCAGAAATACTGGTCTTTTCTCTTCCTAACAATGTATAACAAGTTATGTTTTCTAAGAAAACTGTCAGAGTTATAACTGTTTGAAACAACTACTGCATGTGGGGAATGGTTTAATGAGATTTTGCAATGTAACCAAAGTCGTCTTTGGAAATCCTGATCACAACACATGAAATGCCAGATTAGATGTGTCAAATAAAGATTGTCGAGCATTTGTACTTTCTTCGAGTTGAAAAAATGTTTACTTTGACTGAAAAAGCAAATGAACTCATCATAAATTTGCATCAGATTTATACTCAATATACGGTAATTCAGCATTTCAGGATAACATCCTAATATGCAGTAGATGCTTCAAAGAGTTATAACTCTGATAGTTTTCTAAGAAAACATAACTTGTTATACATTGTTAGGAAGAGAAAAGACCAGTCTTTCTGAATGTGCAAAAATATACAGGGTGCTTCGATGAAATAAAAAAGTTGCCCTATACCTGAATAATGGCTAGTTTGTTTCCGGTAGAACCGGAAGTTCAAGAGAGAAGGTGAACCTGTCAAAAAAAACTTGAAAAATATCAAAATAGACTAGTCCAAACTGCACAACGATAACTTGAATGGTTTCAGAGATATAAGCATTTGAAATGGGTCAGAATATAATAACTGGTCACCTGGTATAAGTACCTAGATATATAATAACTGATCGGAATGCCACTTCTGACAATGAAACCATGTATAATTTTGAATGGTATAATAACTGTAATTGTTACCTATATATATATCTTCATATCAAAAACATGTTTTTGTGGAAAAACTGTATAGGTATGATAGTTTTGGCTACTTCAGTGGCATGAGTAAAATTATTTGACTCTTGCTTTCTACTTACCACTATAAACTGTGTTTCTGCTTGCGAAACAATAATAAGGTAATCATTGATTAGTAGAAATTTATGAAAAATCTAAAGAAGCTAATTACTTATATACATATAGGTACTGAATATTCATCTGATTATTCTTTTGATAAACAATGAAAATTCTTTGTTGGTGAATAATATTTAAGTTTCGAAAGTTACCGGAAACATAAAAATGATCACGATAAGAATGGATGGGTATTTTGGAATGAAGAACAACTATACCTATGTTATTTATTAGGTATAGGTACTATAAATATACCTATGTAGTTAGTTTATTGCTTTAGTTATAGGTATCTATTAGAAAAGATCCTGATGCCGAAAAGTAATATCAAATTGAATCCTAATACCGAGGGGGTGATTCACTCTCAAAAACGTATACACGGATTTGATTGATTGGACGTAGGATTGGACCGAAATCATCGAATACCTATTATAAAAACCAGATTGGACATTTACTTTGTATTGCGAGAATATAGGAATATTACGCCAAGATTGGACGTCGAATTGGATGGATTACATCGGGATTGCACACCAAGTGGAAGTATTCCCAACAACATATAATCTCCAAAAGTTCAAAAAACTTCCAATACCTACCTCCTGTCCCTATCCTCCCTAGGAACGCACGATGTTCTTTGAACATTATAGGGATTCCATTTCGTGCGCTCCAAGCGATAAAAAAAAAAACCCTCGCCTAATACCTATATATACTAACTATTATAATAGCAAAAAGGTATCGAAAAAAATGAAATTCGCTGGCACCTATATACATAATTATACCTATAATAATCACTTGAAAATATAAAAACATTCAATAAGTTTGAAACTAAACATCAGATATAGATTGGTATAGTACCTAGATTCGAAATTTCACACAATCATTGGAAGTTTATAGGAATGTATACCTAACTATACCTATCCGACGGCAACAGAACTGTGCTATCCCAAAGTTTGTTTTTTCGAAACGATTTCATGTGACGTGAAAGTATTGAAAGATACATCATGTGAAAGGAAATTCAATGATGTTATCTTTTCAAAAACTTCGAACTTTGAATTGGAACCGCTCACAGGTATATAGAATTATTGAATCCAAAAGGCTATTTTGTCTGATGACAATAAATAGGTAATCAGTTGATTATGAAAATCCCTACAGATTATCCCTGTATTGTCCTACTGTTGTTGAAGGAGGTTTCACAGAAAAAGGTGTTGTTTGAAAGGGTATAACAAGGTTCATTTGAGCCTATAACTATATAGGCGAAATGATATTTAGAAAAATAGATTACCTATACCTAGTTCGTTAAATCTATGAAGTAAATCACGATGTTTGAATTGAATAAACTTTCTTTCTGGTTTGTGTATACCAATATATTTTTGCACAAAAATCAATCAAGATCTGCCCCTACCGATAAAATATCTATATATATAGTGTAATTTTTGAATAGGTCTGGTATAGAGGACCATTCGCCATTCACCATAGCCATTATCCACCCCTCCATAACTACCAAACCCCTATGCGATATTCCCGATGCCCCACTGACTAATATATCGCATATAATTGTGTATTCGCAACCCTCTTTCCGATAATTTCACCCCTCGCCACCCCTGTACTCGGTCACGTATATTCACATGAGAAAACTTGGGGTGGGTACGGGCAAACGCATTAGATTAGGGGGTAGGTAGTGGATATTATTAATGGGGTGCGTCGTACAACTATGGTTGCCATTTTGGATTCTATATGAGAGGGTTTTGTGTTCGTTAGGGGTAGATGCAAACGAAATTTTTTGATCGATAGCATCCAGATATACTTATAGTTAGATAAGTGAAGTACTCACACAATTATTTTGTATGCAACTCCTAGGTATATAGGAGACTCAGTAGGTATGTGTGTGTACCTCGGTGTGTATATACATTACATTTAATGTCCTACCTCTCTAGGTACTTTGAGAAATTTACAGCATATGTTAATTCTCAACTTCTGAATAAAATACCTATACATAGCTCACAATATTTCGAAATGCCTGACGGAATTTTGGACTTCTCGAAAATATGATGGCGCAAGGTAGATACCTGATGCAGCGACCTTGAGATTCATTTTGCTTGCAAATGTTGCCATAGAAATTAGGATCGTTGACATTCCAAGAGGTATCCTAGTAAGGACCAGGTAAAATGTTTAAGGCCACAAGGTGAACGAACTCATTGTCAACAAAGATGACATATATAAATATGTAATGCTAAGAATACATATTATAGGTAAGTATTGAGTTATAGGTATAATTTGCGATTAATTGTTTACGCTGGATACTATGTTTTTCGTTCTCAACAATTGACAAGATACCTACATATACCTATAACCATGTACCTAATAGGAAGACCATTTCTCCATGTATGAAGGAGAGGTAGGTACCTTTATACAGTTGTATTGGAAAAATAGTAAAACCTATAAAAAGAGAGAAATTGGTATCAATGGTTACAATTTTATTACCAAAAGTACAAAGCAATTGCTGAGCTATAGCATAACTAGCTAGGTAGAACTAGGATGACGTTAACTTTTCTTTTTAATTCTTGTGGTAGGTATACCTACCTATTGAAAGTTGCATCAAGACAGAGAACGAATAATTCCAATATTATAGCACCATTCCGCTTTAACGTTAGGTAAGGAGGTATACGACCCCTGTATTATAATATATTGTTAAGGAGGTCATTCAATTTCCCACCAGTACCAGGTGCAACATTCAAAAAAGGCTATGACTATACCTCTTCGGAACCCACATGCCAAGTCATCCGCAACAGACAAAGACAGAGCGAACACCGAAAGCAGCTTTCACAGTCACACGCCATTTTGAAAAAATCCATACAACCAACAAACACCATGTTACACATGAATAAATCTACAAGAACGTACCGACTACTCCTTTGGAAGATTTATAATCCTTCTCCAGGCACTCAATTGAAAAAAATGAAGACATGAAATAATATAAAAACTGACCTTTTCGTAAAAAAACCGAAACCTCTCCGTTCCATATCACAAAACAACCAAAAAAACTCAAAGGAACGTCATGAAAAATCATACAACAGAAAACCTGGTGCTCGCTGACACACTCGCGTTAAGCACAAGAAAATTTCGCGAAAAACCACTGTGTCTACATTACCGACTCACGGACAACTAACTAACCCTACTACGCTCACACCGACTATCGACTACGGAACTGCGCCTCCTTTGTTCTGCGTTAGACAGCTCGCTCACCGGTCGTCCTTCGCGCAGCCAATCAGCGAGCTGATACCCCCTCTCCCACCACGATTGGCGGGCCAGTTGAAAATGTCGCCGCACGGAACGGCGCGCGGCAGGGGCGCAAGGGGGTGGTATGGGAAACAAGGGGGGTCAGGGGGGGGATGGAGTTGTTCGACGGTCGACCATGCTATAGGCATGGCGAATAAGGAATAATATCACCAGTCTCTTTCTCTGTTTTTCTCTCTGGCTTTGTGTCAATGGCGGGACTATGATTCGTTAATCGGAGCTGCCTATCAAAGTCACGAAGCCGATTATTAATAATCTCTGTTTGATACGTAGGAACGTAGGTAGGCCTTGGACGAACGATATATATAACGATAATCAGTCAGGTTTTATAATAATAATTATATATGACTTGTAAACGAGTTATTTTGCCGTTTGTTACAACGACCTAAACCTTCTGATGAAGGTCCAGGATGTCCGTCCATTCTAATTCGACTAAATTTTCCTCCAAAGATTTCGAATCTCGCATCCTTCGATTTGCCTTACACTGTCCGAGGAAGTGAAGTGAAATTTTCGCATCACATCATCAGGCGCAGTACCTACTTGGCGATATAGGTCTCTTGATTGCCGACGGTCTATATATCTATATATACGCTTCCATAATCCTTATTCTAGTACTTTGTCCACCAATTCTTTGAGGGCTGACGAAGTTTATTGGCTAGAAATCTTCTGCTCTGGTTCCTGTTTCACCTCTCGTCTCTCTGCTACAGCCAGATTGGCAATAATACTTCACCCTGTATAGTGTATTTTCCTATAGTTCTCCCTTATACCTATTCCTTCTATATACCTATATAGCTAAATTCCTGCTAATGAAGCCTAATGTTTGTCAGTTAGGCGCGATCCATATCCGTGTAACATCGTAACTTATTGAACAAAATTCTATTCAGTTCTCTTCCCAATGCATGTTCCCTATTGCTTGGAATAGTAAGCGAACCTTCTATTCCATCTCACCCTATTTTGAGCGTTCTTCGCTCTTAAGGTGGAGATATAGGGATCTCCTGCTGCAACCATTTCGCAATTTCCGCGTGACCTATCACTGCTCCTTCGTTAGCCCAACTCCCAGAGTCCCGCATCCTCAGATATGCCGCCATTGCTTCCTTCTTAATCCATAGATTGGAAGTGGCGGCATCAGCCCCATCAGCAATACCTATACCTCCAGCGTTGCAGTTGGCGTCGTCCTCATTGCTCCTCTGATCACCATCAGGCACCTTTTCTAAGCTCCCTATAAGATGCTCGGGATTTCCTTTACTTATATAGTCGAAGTTAATTTTTGCTTAGGTCTACATATTATATATTATGCGTTCGATCTCTTATGGTTATAGCCTGATGATGCTTGAGACCTGGAAGATTTTCCCTGATGTCTATAATCTCTGTTTTTTCATCTCTTGATGGAGCTCACGAGGTAATCCCTATGCTCGAGAAACATCGTGCGTACCTGATGGGGAAGGAGGTGGAATTGCGAAATAATTTTTGAACTCTTGTCGATTATAATATATACTTATAATAGATTTAGTTATTGAAAATGTTCTTCCTTTGGCAAAGAATTCTAAGCTTCTTCTTTCCTTCTTCTTCTTTGAAGCACTGGTGCATGGGAGGGTGAAAACCCCTGCACGTAGGCCTCCCTATTCGGGCTCATTGTGCGCCCACATGTTCCGACATTCAGCTGGGTATGCCGACTTCCTTGGAGGAGTTCAGCAGCTTCCTCAGCTGAATCTCTTTCACGTCCTCTGGCCTCAAAATTATGTTGCCAAGGACAGCCCTCCTCTGATGTGTCAGTGCTGGGCACTCATAGTGAGGACATGCGATGACCAGGCACCATCTATACAAAGGGGATCATCTTTGATCCCAATAAGCTCTATAGGTGCCTATTGAGGTGATTGTGCCCCGTTAGGAACCACCACAATTACCAAATAAACCTCCAATAAATGTCCATTATTTCGTCACTTTAAATGATAGGTGTCTATATATCTACCTATATATAATGATCAACATTCGCCATTGAAAAGAGTCATCATTTGCATATTATATTCTCATTAGTAGTCTTCATTTGGATGGGCAATTGAATTAGCTGGGAATCGGCAATTAGAAGGTGATCATCAGGGTAATAATCATAGGCATCAGGCAAAAATGATTAAGATATGAACAAGCTGCTAAAATGATTTAGCAAGAAAAATCAGACATTCTCTTTCCCACGACCGGATTTATAGATTAACCCTATACCAGGGCATCAACCTATTATAGGCAATGCAATTCTTGGGGCCCCTTGCTTTCACTCTTTTCTTATTTAAAATACATTTTTTATGATACAAAAGTCGATTCGATCAGGTCGACTCCTTTGGTATCCTGTTATACTCGACATTACTCGATAATCTCTTATGTGATGTCGGAACAACCATATTATATACCTTGACTTAATAAAAAAAGGAAAATCCTTCGATGTTGAAACGGTTTTCTTTCTTATTGGTGCATGATGTAAGGGGGATAGTCGGTGAGGGGCCCCCTATATATAAGTACACGGTAAAAGTTCCTAGTGAGTGAAACTTCTCTTCAAAATAGAAATGTTCAATTTGTGTCATCAAGAACTCAAATCTCTGTTGAAATTCTGTCAAAATTGACACTTCTAAAGGGCAAGTCCTGTACTAGATAGAAAAAAACTGGTGTTGGTGCCTGTTGATCAATTCACATGACAATCTCAATATCGTTATCTATCTTCGACTCAGAGTTACAAGGTGCTTTTTCGAAAATATGAATTTTTGAAAAGTAGGTAGCTGAAACTTATTATTTTGTCAAAAATTCTTCCTTTCCATAAAAAAACATTTTCAAAGCATTGTGTTTGTCATGAAAATTGATCCTCATGAAATCAGTCGCCATATGCCTATACAGTTTCGAAATAGAACTTTTTCTTCAACATCAGGAATAAGTCATATTATATTCTTGAACAAGATATAGAAAAGCCGATTTCAGTGCCTCAGGAGTGATTGGTATCAGAAACTCAATGCTTTGCAGTTATTTTCATGAGAAGATACAATTTTTGTCAAAAAAAATTGTAGCCACTTATCAAGAATGCCCCCTTGTTACTCCGAATCGAAGACAGATATCGATATGCGGTTTTCACCATATGAGTTTTGCATGAGAATCGACCCTCAGGCACCGACATCAGTTTTCTTCTATCTATAGTTGGAGAATAGGACTTTCCCTTTAAAAGAGACCAATTTGGCCCACCCTGTACATGATTTCTCGAACATTCTTCATAATTCTGAGACATTTTGTGTCAGTATATAATTCAAAGGGTTACACAATCCGCCGGTGTGGACCTGGATTGACACAAAGTTATGTGGACCTGATGGGGTTGAAATCAACTCAAAAATGTTTATCCCCGTGTATACAGGGTGATTCAGGTTTTAAGACACAAACTGAAATGGGAGATAGATCTCATCATTTTAATCAAAAAAGTTTATATAAACATTAGTCCGATCTCGTTCAGTAGCGGTCAAAGTTTAATTATTTTTTTCTATTAATTGAAATATCTCACTTACTTTCCAAGATATCATTTTGAAATTTGGTGTGGTCAATACTTCCTAGAAGATCATCATTTCAAGCATTTTAAAGATTTTCAAAATCTACAGGGTGATACGTTTTTGGAGGTAGAGGCTTCTTTCAAAATATCAGACAAGAAATATGGATACAACTGGATGGGGCTTGACCTTCTACCCTCTGTATTCCCGCTACTTATCCAGATTGGACTCGTGCGTAAGAACATTGCAATCTTAGAACATTTTGTTGCATTTTCAACGAATTTTGTCAAAAAATACAATTTAAGCGAAACATAAGCAAAATTAACATGTTTTCGAACGTATATACTTATTTATCTCAGAAACGGTTCGTTTCTCGAAAAAAATTGAGGAGCAAAAAAAGCCTCTAAATTGAACGATCCACACAATTTGATCACTGGAAGATGCCAGAGGCGTACTACGAAAAAGTTTGGAGGGGATAAAGAAGCCTCTACCTCTAAAAACGTATCACCCTGTAGATTTTGAAAATCTTCAAAACGCTTGAAATGATGATCTTCTAGGAAGTATTGACCACACCAAATTTCAAAATGATATCTTGAAAAGTAAGCGAGATATTTCAAGTAATAGAAAAAATAATTGAACTTTGACCCCCTGTAGCTCCGATGCTGAACGAGATCGGACTAATATATAATATAAACTTTTTTGATTGAAATGATGAGATCTATCTTCCATTTCAGTTTGTGCCTTAAAACCTGAATCACCCTGTAGAATAAAAATGAATGAACTGCTATAGTATACCATCATAGGTTACCATGCAATCGTTTTATAGCATCGAGCTAGGGAAATTAGCATCAAGCAAATTTTTATTTTTTCTCGAAAATGTGACCCCGCCACTGTCTGATTACTCTATAACAACAAGATATATATATATATATATATATATATATATAGGTACTAATATAACTTTGTGACTTCCATTGCATTGAACAGGCGGACCGACCTCCACTGTTTCTGATCCTATATATGAAAACATATTTGCATATTTATCAATAGGGGAATATATATTACCAAGTTTTCTAGAGAGGGGTAAGCATTTCCTTTTTTTCATTTATTCATATATATCGTACGAAGTGACTTCCAATTTATATATTCAAATTAATCATAGCTAGGCCGTTAAAGACTCCGACCTCTAAGCCAGATATTCGGTGGTCACATCGATGATTCAAAGGAATATAATAGTGTGAATTATCAAGACAATTGTTGTGTTGATGAACTTTCTGAGAACTCCGCAAATGTATCAATAATATGTTTATTTCTGAATGAGTACAAACATTACAAAGAATTCATTTATGACTTCGCATCAAATGCTGTAACATTGATTTCACAACTGTAGGATCTCTAGAA